GAACCAGAGCTCTAAAGGTACTATTCCTGGCTGAAACTGCTAGGTGTCTGAGAAACCAATTAGCACTTGCCATATCACTGCTGATTTTAAATGTTTATATTTTCCCTTAGGATCACTGATAGTTTGTAAGATTTAAAACAGATAAAGACGTCTATATAGTTCTAAAAATGACACATCAATTTAACTTTGCTCTCAAGTCAAAAGAAATTTTTAAACAATATGAGTATCTGGCTGCACAACTTGGTGAAAATGGAAGGAGAAAAATAAGGCAGGCAAACACTGACACTTGTGGTCATTCTGAGATTGCTAATTTGCTCTCAGGGTAATTCCTGCTTTGTGAACTCAAAGAATAAAACTGAATTATGGATCATCTATATACTTCAGAGGATAATTCTAACTTTTAAATAAACACTATTTTTTTCTACAAAATGGGAATACCATTTACTAACAATAAGCAAAAATAAGTCTTTTGTCTATTTTTTTTTTACAGAATGGAATACAATGCATCAGATTTTAAAATAATCAAGAGATATAAACTCTAATATTACTATGCAAAATTGCTGAGGGACCCCAATGAAACTATAAGTGGCCTTTAGATAACACTCTGAAATGGCAGTTTTCAGAGTTGTGCAGTGAAAATTATGACTCATTCCTGTCCAGCACTGAAAAAAAAAAAAAAAGACAGCTAGTTCTTCTGATCAGCATCAGCCGAAATTAAGTACTTTCATTTTAGAGGCCAACTACTCATACTAAAGCATAAACAGAAATGTAGAGAAATGTAGTAAAGAGTAGATTTATGCCTCCCTTCTCATATTACTCAAAGATAATTTCTCACTATTTTAAGTGGTCTCATCCTATAAAATTTAAAAATTTTCTCTAAATCTTTTTTTCAACCAAGGACATGACTTAAACTTATATACAAATATAAATAGATAATAAAACTCCATGAATTACTATCAGATAGTGAGCAATTTGCACAGCAGGTTTACATCTGATTTGCTATGTATTAATCATTCAAAAATATTAACTGCATAAACAAAAGAATAATTATTTCCTCTACCCATTAAAAACTAGGAATCAGAAGGCATCCCTAAGCCCATCTTTAAATTCTAGCTTCTTGAGGGCTCTTCTAGACAAGGTAAGGGAAATGCTAAAACCAGATGGACATTTATGGCCAGAATGCACACAGTAATGGACACCTAACTGGCCATCAGGGATGTGTTACAATATTAAAAGTAGATCTAAGCAAATAATAATTATAAGTCATTTTATAACTGTAAAAGTAGCTGCCAGTTTGCTGAGTCTCACAAAGAAACCTGCCACATTTACTGACTTAGTTAAACTGTAGAATTCAGATATGAAAAGAAACTAAAGGAAGAACTTATACAACTTGCCTGTCATTAAGATTTTTACTTTTCTCTTGACTGGAAACATGTAGGATGCTACGAAAAAAAAAAAAACTAGGAACTTTTAATGTCACATCTGCTGTTTTTCTTTTTGGTATTTTGTTTTGTTGTTGCTGTTGTGGTGCTGGGGACTGAACCCAGGTATAGCCCCAGTTCCTCTTTCTTTTTTTGATTCTGGGGATTGAACTGAAGGGCACTTGTCCACTGAGCCACATCCTCAGCCCAATTCTGTATTTTCTTTAAAGACAAGGTCTCACTGAGTTGCTTAGCACCTCACCATTGCAGAGGCTGGCTTTGAACTTGTAATCCTCTTGCCTCAGCTTCCCAAACTGCTGGGATTACAGGCATGGACCCAGCTCTGCTCTCTTTTTCTTTATAGAAAGGTTTAAGTTATGCTGATTAAGAACTTAAGAAACAGTTTGTGGATATATACCTCGAAATCTGAAGAAAATTCTGACTAAGTACACAGGCATCTTTTGTTAGTAATTTTTAGGAGTCTCCTGTTTTATCAATACTTGGTAAGCATAGTTGAAAAAAAAAAAAGCCTGCTGGTAATGAAGGGGCTCAAGCCAACACTGGAGGGAACCATTAATGAACATGAAGCTCTCTTAGTAATTAAGATTTCCAGGTGTGGTGGTGCACACCTGTAATCCCAGAGCCCTGAGAGGCTAAACTCAAAAGTTCCAGACCAGTATCAGTAACTTATCGAGGCCCTAAGCAATTTAGTTTTTTAACAAAAAACAGGGCTGGGCATGTAGCTTAGTAGTTATTTGTCCCTGGGTTTAATTCCCAGTACCTTAGCCCACACACACACCCAAAAAACCCAATGGAACATCAACGAAAATTCAATCAAAAAAATTGGCAAAGATGATGAATTTGGAAATTACTCTGATTTGATCTTTACATACTGTATTAAAATGTCACAATGTATCCCATAAMTATGTACAGTTACTAAGCATCAAAAATTTTTACTTTAAAAAAGGATTTTAAAATAATTATTTTATCCATTCTTAGAGAAAGATAAGGAATGTGTTAAATCATCTTCATATGCCCAACATTTAATAATCTGTGCCTAAATGAAATTTTAGTATGCAGTAGTTAATCAAAATTTATTTATTGAAAAGGCGATCAAAGTGAAAATATAAACATCACGTAATTCTATTAATGATAACTGGGTATGTTGTGAAAGTGTTGGGGGAAAAAATTCTCAATTTCTCTAACACCCATGTAGTATAATGGTTAAGAATATAGCATAAAAATTTAGCTACTCTTGTTCTGAAGTTAACCAATTTGTTCTTTAATCACTAATTAGCTGATATTTGAGCTAACTATTAACAGCTTTGGCCACTGGTTTCTTTAAAATGGTATTACAATAATGAAACCATCATGAGAAATAAAAGCCATTTTATGTAACAATTTAAGTGGTTAGCATACAACCTCACTTTGGGTAAACAATAAATGGCCACTGCCTACTAACTCACAGTCAAATTTTGTATAAAAAAATCACTACCAAACACTTATCTACAAAAATCCACTTCTACTTTTGGAAAAAGATTATTTTAGGTTGTTKCATAACCTTTGCTCTGTTACTCCAGTTTATCTAATAAAAAAGAAGTAGTATGCATTGTAGTATGGTGGGAGATAAAAACTAAGTGCTAAGAAGAGTTTTTAGTACTCTCGCTCAAACTAGATTAACCAAAGTCCTTAGATTTCATATATACATATATATGTTATACATATGTATGTGTATCTATATACAGATATATATATATATATATATAAAATTCCTTCTACAGTTTTTAGAAAAATGACATATACGCCTAAGAAACAAAATCACATGATTCCTAAAACTAAAGAGCAGATTTTATTAGCACACTTTTATTACTAAAAACCAAATTATTCTTTAGTTTTTAGTAAAAATAATATATGTAAGGGCAGTGGCTGGGGCCATGGTAGAGCACTGACACAGCGCCTAGCGAGGCGCTGGGTTCAATCCTCAGGACCACATAAAAATAAATAAATAAAATAAAGGTATTGTGTCCAACTACAACTAAAGAAATATTTTTTAAAAAATATGAGGACAGGGCTGGGACTGTAGCTCAGTGGCAGAGCGCTTGCCTTGCACCTGTGAGGTACCAGGTTCAATCCTCAGCACCACATAAAAATAAATAAACAAAATAAAGACATTGTATCCATGTATAACTAAGGAAAAAAAAACAGGGGCTGGCATTGTGGCTCAGTGGTCAAGCACCCCTGAGTTCAATTTCCAGTATCAAAAAAAAATTTTTTTAAATGAGGACAATTTTTTAAAATATTATAGAATATATAAATCTTTATTCAATCATTTGAAATAACAGATATTACTGAGGACGAACTATAAATATCAAGGAATTACTTAGTCCCTATAATATGAGAGGAAAAACTGATAAGGCTATTTTCAAAAAACAAAACAAAACAAAAAATTGCCCACTGCTCTTTCAGGAAAAAAAAAAAAAAAACAGCAAGATACCAAAAGTGTCCAAGAGATTAATCATATTAAGGAGGCTTTCAGATTATCTAATGTTTATGAAATTTGCTTTATGACAAGTTACTAAACCATCCTGAAATACTAGTATAAGACAACATAGTTAAGAAAAAAAAATAATTCACTGGGCACAGTGGCTCATGCCTGTAATTTTAGGGGCTTGGGAGGCTGAGGCAGGAAGATAACAACATGTTCAAAGTCAGCCTCAATATCGAGACCCTGTCTTTTTTCAAAATAAAATATTTTAAAATGGGCTGGGAAACGTGGCTCAGTGGTTAAGCACCCTTGGGTTCAATCCCTGGTACAAAATAAATAAATAAATAAAAGATCCCATAATTCACCAAGAAGATGCTATACAAATGTGTTCTACTACTATATCATTTGTTTGAATCTATGACAAATGTAATTTTAAAGAAAAGAAACAAATTAAAAATGTTGACATTAAAAAGTGATCAAAATTTACTGCCTTCAAAAAACACAGCAAAAAAGAAGTGAGCTATGTCACATCTTTCAATAGTTAAAAGCAATCTACAGCAGCTGATTTATACCAATTGCAGAAAACAGAGGAGAAAAGTCTAAATTACAGATGAAAGATAAATAGTGTAAATCTTAACTACCTATTAGCAAACTCAGAGCAATGTTGGGGGTGGGGGGGGGACTTGAAGAGAAAGAAAAGTCCTGAAGGGGTTAAGTTTTATCAATTTACGTTTAAAACCTTGTATTACTTATGCCCTACCCAAAGCATTTAAGAAGCATAAAAGCTACCATCTAACACAGAAATGTTTAGAAAGCCCGAGCTGTTTTTTTTTTTTTTTTGGGGGGGGGGGACGCGGGTAAGCTGCAATAAAATAAAATCATAACCATTCATTTCATAATCATCCCATTTTCACATTATTCACTCATCGCTACACTTACATTAATATATATAATTTATCACATAGAAGTAAAATCTCTAAGCTTCTCTCTACCTTAGGTTTTTAGTCAAAATGAATGCAAACAATCACGTGGGATTCAGCCAAGCAGTGACGTTAAATTCTGCTCTGTCAGAGAGAGCATCTGTCAAGCCCACATTTAAACTGCTGCCTGCTTGTGCAGCAGCTGAAGAACCGTGGATTTCATATTATAGACTAAAACCCCAGTGAAACTGCTCAAAAAAAAATCTTTCCTGCAGCTGCCACACAGCAACGAAAGAAGAGAGGTAAATCCTATTCTTTTCCAACACAACCGAAGCACTAGATTCTAGCTCTGCTGCTTTACACTGCAGCTTAGTGTTAATACTAGAAATATGGATACTGAGAAGAGCATACAGCACTGCATTGTCCAGCCAGGAAAACAGCAGATGTAAAAAGCTTCAATGCATCAACTGTCGGAAAGAGTCAACAGTGCTCCAAATACAGCGGACAACTACAGCTCTTTTGTTTAACAAAAGAGAGAATGAAAGAAAGGGGAAACCTCAGAAGACTAGGACCCATATGAACAAGGAGGGTAACTTGAAGACAAGCAGACAGATGGACACTTTGGATACTGTGAAAAGCAATCGCAGAAGGCAGACTGTTGGGGGATGTGCGCATGTTCGATAGCATCTTTTTTGCTGAAGTGATGGCGTGCCAAAACTATTTTCAGTGGGCATAATCCTCACCACATAAATGGCCTGACCAAGGAAGGTATGTCGATATCTTGTGTATGATATTTGTTTAAATGTGTTACCTTTTTATAACCCTGGAGGCACTAATCCTTTATAAACAAGTTCACACAGTTCACTGCCCTTGAAACTAAGAAAGGGGTTCTAAATAAATAATTTTAAAATTTGTCATTGTTTAGAAGACAAGCTGCCACTGCTTTATTCAGCTAAGTATATAGCTTGGAGTAATTATGGACTATAGACATATAAGACGGAAAAAGCAAATAGTAACAAAACATACTTAAAGGATTCTCTGAGAAATTAAACTTAAAAAAATCTGTAGCTCTGTACAGAAAACACAGCAATCCTCCATTAAATTAGGTCAAAATGAATCCTTATCTCGTAAATTAAAGTGCACTCTTTAAAATGGCTATGAAGAGACAATGCAGTGAAATTACATTGAACAGCATTTAGGATGATCTTAATATTATGAGATTTTTTGCAAAGTCCTCTTAAAACAAAATATTTAACTGCTTACAGTAATGAAATCTTCCCTCCAAAATCTACTTGCTCTAATAATGACAATGAATACAATCTCAGAGTATATCAACAAATTTTAAGTATTATTGAGCTATAAGATACTAAAAGGAAAACATTAGCAAAGGATCACATAAGGCAGTGTGAGTTTGTGCATACCATAACACCACAGTAGAGTCACATGTTAGTACAGTGTCCACGAACACAACTTTAAACAAAGAAGTGTCAATAGTTGCTTTAAAAAAAAAATTCTATTTGAAATAATGAACTTTTATTTTAGGTAACTGATTCTAAAGGAAGAAACCTCAAATTGCTCCTGGAGATCATTCTAAAAGTGAAACTCCAAAACACAATGTGAAAATACTATGATATAAAATATCCACAAACAGCAACGCAAAACAGCTCAAAACATTAAATATAAAGGGAGCCAATATGCTTCCATGGTTAATATGTAGTAATGAACCACTGCCACTATATGTACATTCAGTATAGAGATCAATCAAATAAACTATTATAGCAACAATCATTAGAATAGCAAAAAAAAAAAAAAACTCAAGGAGTTCTAGAACAAGGATATTCCTAAAAATTTTATAAAACTATCAATATCTTGATTTTCCCTGTTTTATAATTTACTAGTATTATTTAATAATCACAGAAGGCAAACATTTTTAAGATAATATGTAAGTACTGTATTATGAAATTAAGATTAGCCATGTATAGCAGGCCCTACTACATCTCAACATCAACTCTCAATAATAACCATGAAGTTTTATTCCAACAGATTAAAATAATATAGTATTAAGAAAAAAAAGGTTGTGAAAATCAAGTTCTTCTTGTTACCTTTATTAATGTTAAAATCACCTAATTAAGCAGTTTTATAAACTAGATATCTCAAAAGGAAAGTGTATAAGTTTTTCTATTAAAGCACCACTTAAATCTAAGGCTGTTCCAATAGACTAAATATATCAACACGTTTGAAAGTCAAATGATAAAACTCTGTATGCATGTGAGTGGAATGAACTGCATTTTACAGTAACATCATTTGCATGAACTTCAATCCACAAGATGTAAATAAATACACACTGAAAATATAAAAAAAGAATTATAAGAGATAAATCAAAGTCATTTCTCTTCTAAAAATATAAAAGTACAAAACTATTTGCATGCCAAAATATTAAGCTTTTTTTGTCTTGTTCTCACTTTTCAAGAATTCAAATGTAACAGGSATTAACTGGAGAATATATATTATTTGATAAAAGGAGAAACAGTTGCTTCAATTTTACTTCCTCTTAACAGAAAACTATGATAAATATCTAGGAAACTTCTAACAAAGAATTTTTTTTAAGGCTAGACACATGAGCTTCTTTTATCAATGGGAGATTCCAAAACAAGCAGATACAGATTTTAAGCCTCCACAGATTAATATTTAAAGACACACAACTATCATAAAATTTAAATTAAGGTGCAACATTATGATATATTATTATAAAACATATTAGAACCAAAATTTTGTACTTGATAGATCACAATATGTAATATTTTTTTCTTTTCTGTAGCACTGAAATGTTTTGGAGAAATCACTTCAGGTATAATGTTTTCATCAAAATAATGTAACTTATTACTATAATATAATATCTTCAGATACATGACCTTATCAATATCTTGATTCAAATACATGACCTTATACTTATTGCTTTTTAAACCATACATCTACACATTTAAGAGATTTATTTGACTGAAACAGAAAGCTGATACACTGAACTTGTTTGGAATACTTGCAACAAATTTTAAAAGTAACTTTTGTTTCTATTAAATTTACATACATAACCCTAACATCTACTGATCTCTTTTTGAGGTGGGGAGGGGGAATTTACTAGTTGCCAAATGCATTGTTTTGTAATAAAATCTTAAAAATTGTTTCCTGGTCTAAATACAAAGGCCAACTATTTACAAGTACAAGAAGGAAAATGATGACTTCCTAAATCAGAATACTCAGCTCTATTATTTTTAACTTCCCTTACAAAAGAACTATATTTTGTTGATACAATGAATAGTCTTGTTCTTCATTTACAGTAACGTAAAAATTTTAAATGCATGCAAATAAACTCTAATGAACGATTGCTTTTAAAACCCCAAACTTAAAATAATTAGCTTATAACTATGAAATGATTATATTTTGTTAAGAATATTAAGACTTCTAAAAGCACTATATAATTTCAAAAAGTAAGAATTATCAAATTCTGGTTGGTGCCTGTACTGTTACACTTCAGAAGTTCTTTCAAATTCCCACCTACTTGCTCCTCCTAGTGGCTGCTACTAGAATAGTACTTTCATTCATGTCTTAACTTTCTATCCAATATTTTTAAGGTATTGATATTATGTATGTGAATTTTAATCTGTAATCAATCAATTATGAGAATTTACATGTAAATGCTATTTTTCCTAAAATAATTTCATGTCAATGTTAAACAAATCTATTATTAACCATGACTCAGTATGACAAGCTAAATAAACAAATGCATTTACATAATTTTTTTAAATAAACAAATATTTCTACATTAAAATTTTCATTAGTTTTCTTTTGCTTAAAGAAATTATTTTCAGAAAAGAACTGAAAAAAATCAAAACTATATATTTGTTAGTCTTCTTTCCCCAAAAGTTTTCCATTCTTTTAATGGAATTCAAACTACAGCTCTTTGCCTACCTCTATGTTCCCCCAATTCTTGGTCTGGAAAATCTAAGAACAAAGAGAAAAATCTAAGAACAAACATGAATAAGTTTGTGCTATGCTCTTGAAAGCCTCAATGCAAGATGACATAGCCAATTTTTAATATGTGGAATCATGAACTTCCCATACTGACCTGACATTTCAAAAACTTTTTTAAAAAATCTAAGTGTTGTGATATTAAAAGTCCTGAGGATTTGATAAATTGTCTGAATGCAGATTTACAACAGCATAATTCAAGAGTATTTTAAAACACATTTTATGAAAATTAAAATTTTAAACAGTTGGAACTGATAGTAGCTACTGCCTATATTTTATAGGAAGCTTAGAAAAACTGTTACAGTGTATATGATATCCTCTGCCCAAAACCAGATAATTAAAATAATTTTATATACTTTAAAAAATCAATCTTAAGGACAAAGAAAGACCTCCTGAATATTTCATATTTGAAGTGGAAGGTTAAAATTAGAAGAGAGTACTTGAAAATGTTAATCATTTATTACTGTCTAAAAATTCTACTCTGAAGTTACTGGACCCTGAAAATTAATTTTGACAGGTGCATCTTCTCATTGACTTTCTCAACACAGTAGGGGCCAATGGAAACATGCCAAGCAGTGTACTGTGACTAACAGAACTCTGCCATAATCAACCTTGCACCGTCTGTCCCACGACTGATACATGACCATTTTACAAAAAAGGCCGCTGACTGTGCACCATACCACCAATGGTATGTCAAATCAATTTTAATTAATGCCAATAAAGTTTCCATCTGTTCTCAAGGCCTTCTTACGTGGCCTTTTCTCAGGAATCCAGAAACTTATAACTTTTAAATCCTTAACTTAAGCCAATGTACAAATGACCAGAGCTATTGAGACAATGAAATAAGTAGAAAATTAATCCATCACTTCTCTTTAAAAGTGCTAATTGCTACCAAAATATTTTTTAATTAATCTTGTTCTCAGTAATATTATTATGATGCAGAAAGGAAACAAATTATGAGCTGTTTCTGCAATATTATATTTTCTCAGATTAAGAACCTCTTATTTGTCCTAATTTTATTAGCACCAGAGGCCCTTTCAGACAGTTTTGTAGTATTTAGCACTTTATAAACCTTTATGCTTTATCTTTATAGGATGACTACAGGGGACACAACGTGACTGAATTAGAAAATGAATACCAAAGAACAGTATTGATTCAGAGAAGAAAACAGTATTTTCAGCCACCAATATCTCCTATACCATCACTGGATATTTACAACATGCTTCAGTGGAGAAGAAGGCATTGCTGCTTTGCAAAGATGACCTGGACCGCCAAGAGGTCTCTGTTCCGTACTCATCTTATTGGTGTACTTTCTCTAGTGTTTCTTTTTGCTATGTTTCTGTTTTTCAATCATCATGACTGGCTACCAGGTAAAGCTGGATTCAAAGAAAATCCTGTGACATACACTTTCCGAGGATTTCGTTCTACAAAGAGTGAAACAAACCACAGCTCCCTTCGGAACATCTGGAAAGATACAGTTCCTCAAACTCTGAGGCCCCAAACAGCAACTAACTCCAATAACACAGACCTGTCACCACAAGGAGTTACAGGGCTGGAGAATACACTTAGTGCCAATGGAAGTATTTACAATTTAAAAGGCATTGGACATTCAAATTCTTACCATTTCAAATATATTATCAATGAGCCTGGAAAATGCCAGGAGAAAAGTCCTTTTTTGATACTACTAATAGCAGCAGAACCTGGACAAATAGAAGCTAGAAGAGCTATTCGGCAAACCTGGGGCAACGAAAGTCTAGCACCTGGTATCCAAATCACACGAATTTTTTTGTTGGGCATAAGTATTAAGCTAAACGGCTACCTTCAACGTGCAATACTAGAAGAAAGCAAACAGTATCATGATATAATTCAACAGGAATACTTAGATACATACTATAATCTGACCATTAAAACACTTATGGGTATGAACTGGGTGGCAACATACTGTCCACATGTTCCATATGTTATGAAAACGGACAGTGACATGTTTGTCAACACTGAATATTTAATACATAAGTTACTGAAGCCAGACCTGCCTCCTAGACATAACTATTTTACTGGTTACCTAATGAGAGGATATGCACCCAATCGAAACAAAGACAGCAAATGGTACATGCCTCCCGATCTCTACCCAAGTGAACGTTACCCTGTATTCTGTTCTGGAACTGGTTATGTTTTTTCTGGAGATCTGGCAGAAAAGATATTCAAAGTTTCTTTAGGTATTCGTCGTTTGCATTTGGAAGATGTGTACGTAGGAATCTGTCTTGCCAAGTTAAGAATTGATCCTGTGCCCCCTCCCAATGAGTTTGTGTTCAATCACTGGCGAGTTTCTTATTCAAGCTGTAAATACAGTCACCTAATTACCTCTCATCAGTTCCAGCCTAGCGAACTGATAAAATACTGGAACCATTTACAACAAAATAAGCACAATGCCTGTGCCAACGCTGCAAAGGAAAAGGCAAGCAGGTATCGTCACCGTAAACTACACTAAAAAAGACAATTTTTTTTCAAGTGTGCAATCTGTAAATATTGCTAAAAGCATGTATAGTTAAAACTGACAACATCCATAGTACAAGGTTTAGTTAAAACTCATCACATAAAGGAATTCAAAAAAAATATTTTTTTAATTTCTTAAGAAAGTAATTCTTAAAACTAAAACWTCATATGACAAAAGGTATCCCAAAACAATCTATAAAAAACTGTGTAAGGGGAGTCTGTGTATTAACATGCAACAACAAGCATGCATACATCAATGGTTCAAGTATTATGTTAGGGTCCAATAAAATGTATCTGCATATATTTTCCACATAAATTTTAATTTAAAAAATGAAGACTACTGATCCTTCATTTAAGATTTAGCTTTTCATTTCAATTCATAATTAAATGTAAATAAAACATTACTATCAATTTTAAGGAAACTTTGTAATTGTGCAAAGGAAAATTTCTGACCTGACTTYTAGGGTTCTAAAAACTTACATTCCACGCAATAAGATTTAGTTGAGTTATTCCATAATGTTCAGATGTTTCATCAATGCAGTACCCATCCTAGTATTTGCTTTTAAAAATAACTGAGATTTCTTTTAATACTCACATATACTGGGGGAAATTATTTTGACATAATGTGATAAAATGTGAAATATTAATGTGTCTCAGGCTCAATTTTTTATAAAAACAAGTTATTAAATGTTTCAAAGTAGACAAACTTTGTTTCCTCATTGGTGTTAAGGGCCAAGCTAGTATTTCAATGAGTTATTAGATTAGATCAAATACTGCACTCTTGAAGAATAACACCATTTAACTTAAGTACATCTGATTTCAAGTATATCTGCAAAAATGAAATCATATTCCTCTAACTGAAGCAAAAGTAATCACCTATAGGCACAGAAAGGATGTACTGGTGAAAAAAGGAGGAAGGATAAAGAATACAGCAGCAGTTTCATTCAATACATTTTAAGATGCATGTCTGCCAGACTGCAACATACGAGTTTATTTCCTGACAGCAGGTGTACACATGCCAATACTTAATCATTTTATGGCATATATTTCTTTCTCTGAGTGCCAAGTTTACAAACTTGCAGTTTTTAATTTGGTAGATGACAACAATTCTTCATCACCAATTAAAAACCTCTTGGGGAGGGATGGAGGGAACTACAGATGTTTGATGAACACTTGATTCTAGGATGAACAGTGTATACAATGCACTTTTAAGAAGTCTTTTTTTAATAAAAGAAGGTAAATAAAACTTTCACAGAGTGATACGATACAAGTATTTTCACAATAATTTTGTATGACTCCATCATGAACTTTAAAATCAAGAAATATTAACCTCTAACTTTAAAATGGTGTTTTTATTCCATAAGTATATTAATTTGTCAGTCTTAGGATGTTTCTTCTATGRATTCTAGTAACATTTTTTCCCTGATCCTATTATGAAGGGATAAATCACCAGAGTATAACTATAATATCTATTATAGTTCAGAATCACACACAAAAAAATATGTTTAAATACTTATTAATTGGTCTGTTGAATTCTATTTACATTCAATTTATCTACCATGTGCAAATCAGTAGCTTAAGTGTTCCACACTACATCAAGTAATTCTGAAAAAGAGCTGTGTAACACCCCCAAATCTTGGTTCAACTCAATTTTTCACTTAATTTACTCTCTAAGATTGCAGAATGACCAAAATTCTAAATAAAAGTCACACTTAGGAAGAAATCACCAAATTAGTATTTAATCAAATACAGAAGAAATCCTTCCATCAGTGCAGTCATTCCTCTGATTAACCTCAAAAGTTAAAAAAAAAAAAAGCAGGGGGACATATACATGTATGTGCACACATAAATGTAAATAGAAAGAATCCACGTGCTATTTGTGCAAATACAATTAAAACATAGGATCTTTAAAAGGTACTTATTTTTTCTTCTAAACAGGCCAGGCTCAAAAAAAGTAACTTACAAAAAACTGAATTCTTCGCAGAATCTTAACAGACACTTAAATTCCTTCTATCTCAGGTATCAATCTAAAACCATTTCTACATTCCTAATAATTCTATCTTGAAAAATGATAATCTGATGATGACACTGAGTCCTCAAAGGGAACTGAACTAAACAGTGAAGTTTATTATAATGTTGAAAATCCTTATTTTAAAATAAATATCCTACTACTAATTTATTTTGACCTTTGGTTTCAAAAACATGCATGTTGATTACTTGAACAAAATAAGCTGATATCTTAACAACTGTTAATTTTGTCTTTATCCTAGTACTATGTAATTTTTGCATACATGAAAATGTAATTTTAAATGATAGCATTGGACTTGGTAAAAGATTAAGGAACTACTATGTGCTCCTTATGTTCAAAATGTCAACAGATATTTTAGAAGCTGAAAATATCAAAATTTTCAACACAATACTGGTTTATTTTGATTAAGGTTAGAAATGATGAAATTAGAAGTAAATAATTCAGATTTTCCTCACCTCGTTTTCATTCATAGCAAAATCACACATGATCTCAACTGGCATTTTCTTAATATCTGTTTCCAAGAAATCCAACAAAAACAATACTTGCAGCAACAGCAGAAACTATTTATTGATTGTGCAAGCAGTTTACTTGGTACTAATAAAAGACTTCATACACATGATCTCACATAACCCTCCTAAATATAATCATTTTTTTTTTTTTTGAGACAGGGTCTCACTAAGAGTTACAGGACTAAGGTTAAACATATAAGCTCACAGAGCTAATAAAAGCAGCAGGTTTCCATTTTTAAAAAATGCTCTTAACCATTCATCTATTCTGCTATATTTCACATATGACAGCTACTAAAAAGTCTACAAAGCTAAGAAAAACTGGTCTGTCCTCTATTCTCCCATTCTCTACTTGTTTTTCATCCAYTGCTAGGACTTCTGGGCTTCACAGCCATGTTCTCACACTGAAGGGACACCTAATGACAAGTGCAAATTAAGAGAAGGGAAAGAAGAGGATATCTAATCTATCACTGATTTTTCTTTTCTCCTTCTCAGTTGCTGGTGAATAGTGATAAGAATCTTTGAAAAGTACATGTATTACTGTTTATCTCTTATTCCTTTTGGGCCCTGAGTTACATCTGTAAACAGCAGGCAGGTAGCAGTCAGCACTTCATTTATATATACATAATATTTATTATTTGTTTATATATTATATATAATATATATATTATTTTTGTTTTAGTTGTAGTTGGACACAACACCTTTATTTCACTTGTTTATTTACTTATTTTTTTTTAATGTGGTGCTGAGGATCAAACCTAGGGTCTGGCACGTGCGAGGCGAGCGCTCTATCGCTGAGCCACAACCCCAGCCCAAGACAGCACTTTTAAAGTGCTTCTTTTGAAGCACAATTGATAATTGGTGGTGGGGATGGGGACAGGGATTGTGGTTACCAGGAATTGGACCCGGGACACTTCGCAGGTCCTTTTTATTTTTTATTTTGAAACAAGGTCTCATTAAGTTGCTGAGGGTCTCACCAGGTTGCTGAGATTGCCCTGAAGTTACAATCCTCCTGCCTCAGTCTCCCCAGTTGCTAGCTGTATGCCATGAAGCACCTGGCACTATTGATAACATTTAATAGACAAAATTGACAGTGTATTTATCCATTATGCTGTTTAGTCAACCTACTATTTTGTGAAGAGGTGATAAAGTTAGTTTATCCAGCTGATTTAGGTAGTTTTCCCTCCACTTCCATTTTTACTGCTTAACAAAATTTGATTATTAATGCAGATTTAGAAAGAAATCCTCCATTTTTGTACATTTTACAATACTTCAAAGAATTTCTACATTACTACTTAGATATTACTTGCAAAAGACTGGTACTGTAATAATGCACATCAAATATTAGAATGGACATTTTGAGTTTCAGGAAGAAACTTGTCAATCTACACTTGACATACATGCATACCAATTTACCCTTTTCCAAGTATGATGTAATTATAAACCTTACTGCTCTCAAGATATGACTTGCAAGGGATTCAACATTTGAATCTTACTTCAAATGGTAACCTAAATGTAAAATAATGGAAAAGAGTAACCATATCTAAAACTACTAAACAGAAAGCTATAGTGTAATATGTAAAACCTTAATTCATGCTTTCATAAATGAGTTCTAATTAAAAATACTAACTTACATAAAATTCAGACCAATATAATTTGCTTTGCTGTAATGATTAACATATTAAAAACACATCTGAATATAAAAAACAAAGAGAACACATGACATCTTGACAGCAATGAGAACTTTGTAGAATTACTGAGTTTAAAAAAAAAGCTAATAAGATCACATTATGATCACCTTAAATTTCCTTAAAGGCATTTAAAAAAGTGTTCCAGTTATTATATTTAAAACATATTCCTAGAAAATTAAGATCAAGGGTTAAGAACATAGCTCAGTGGCAGAACATTTATCTAGTATGCACAATACCCTGGGTTCAATCCCTAGTACTGGAAAAACAAAAAATTCAAAGCACAACATTTCCAAATATGATTACACAAAAAACTAAAGAAGTTTATTTGCATGGCAATAAAAACTCATCAACAAACTCAGAAGTCAAATGAAAAATTGGGAAAATATACTTGCAATCTACAAGGTTTATAATCCCAATATTATTAAAAGGATAGACAAGAAAAGATAATGACTGGGTTGGGGCTAGGGCTCAGTGATACAGTGCTCATCTGGCTTGAGTGAGGCACTGAGTTTAATCCTCAGTACCAAATAAAACTAAATAAATAAATTAAATAAAGGTATTGTGTCAAACTACAAAAAAAAAAAAAAAAAGACAATGGCCATCACCATCACCCTGATAGAAAATGGGCAAAAATGTTAATAGTTTACAAAAAAAAAGAAATAATATGCCTCATAAACCAAGGTCAACTTTGGCCAAAAGAAACATGCTATAAACTTCACTGAGAAATTATTATTTACCTATCAAATAAGCAAAATATTTAGCCTGTTGGCATCACACACTTCTGACAGACCTGCAGAGGAAAAAAGAACACTCTCGTATGTGCTGGTGGGAATGTGAAAACTATAACTATCAATGGAGGAGAATTTGGTAACATCTAGCAAACTTATATAACATTTATCCCTTTACCCAGCATTTCCACATCTAGGAATCTCTTGCCAAATGACAGCAATAATAGTATGAAAAAAAAAAAGCATAAAACTAGTAACTGAGGCAGGATTTATAACAGCAGAAAATAGTAAACAATCTTGCTATCCATCTATATAGGACTGTGTAAATAAACCTACGTACATCATGAAGTGAGTCCAAAAGAAAAAATAAACGCATTTAACTATCATATAGTAAAGAGTAATATTAGTATTATTATTTTGAAATTATTATTGAAATCTTACCAGATAAACAAGAAATTACATTGCTATGGTTAGGAAATGCTATGAGCAAAATTCTTGTGTTAAACCTCCAAACCCCAATGTGATTATCTGGTGGTGAGGTCTTTGAGATGTAGTTATAAGTAGAGTAAGACTAGGGATGGGAACCCCCATGATGTAATACCCTTATAAAAGTGTATCTCCTTCCAACCCCATTTCAGCATCAGAGGAAAGACTCAAACATAAAGCCAAAAAACTTAACCCTTCTTTTAGCTTGGACCAAAGCTACCAATAATTAATGACTATTACAAATTTAAAATGAAATAGAAATTCCTATCTCTGTCTACAAAAATACTGAGAAAAATGGAGGCTGGTGAAATCACAATGGCAAGAAACACTTTTAAGATACAATCTCTAAATACCCATTGCCTTATACCCAACTCCCGCCACGAAAAAAAAAAAAAAAACCCTGTATAGAAATTATTAATTCCGTATCTGGAGTAGAAAATGTATGAGATAAGTATGCCAGAAATCAAGAAGGCAGAGACTAATTAATGTCAAAACATCCTAGAAACCAACTTCAAGATGTTCCTACTTGCCTAAAATGAAATAACTTGGTAACTATGTGAGATGGTGGATATGTTAAGTCGTTTCACTATAGTAACTATTTTACTTTACAAGTATCTTATGACATCATGCCAATCTCAAATAAAATTTATTTTACAACAAATAAGTAAACAGAATTCAAAAATAAAAAGAGGCCATTTGAACAATAAAATGACTAACACATAAAAATCTAAATTCATACTGGTGATGGAAAAAAAAATCTGGCCTCAAGATGCAAAGGAATCTACACTTTACTCAGAAAATGTGAAAAGG